GTCTGGTACTTCTCAATCATTTCTTTCATATTGTTCAGTAGATCGATATGAGAATTTGTGATATTAGCTTCAATTTGTGCCAACTTGCTCCTTAATTCCTCTTATATTTCTTTCTGCTCTATCTCAAATTTGGCTAGCCTATCCTCAGTTTCTTTAGACATTTTTCTTGTGTCATGCTGAGCGTTCTTGCTTCAAAGAAAAACCAAGATCACTTCGTTTGAAATCCTTATTTTAATGAATGAATGTTTTAATGTATTATGACATAAAAATTCAAAGATGCCAAAGGAAAATGTAAATACGTGAATGTAATAATAAGAATACAAATTGTGCAATACAAAAGTAAACATAAAAATACAAATGCAAAGATGCCAAATGTAAATATGCAATTGTAAAAATGTAAATGTAAATTATTTAAAATACCAGAATAGGACATCCAGTTATATTAAGACTGCCCCTTTCTTTGATATTGAAAATAAATAAACATTATTATTTAATTAAATACGTTTTAATGCATGATGTAAATTTAAAAATGTAAATGTAAATACAAACGTAAAAATGTACAAATGCAAAATACAAATGCATGTATGAAAAGGTGTTACTCAGGAGTGATCATCTTAGAACAGATTTCATTGAACGCAAAAGTTTCGGTACATCAAACAAAACTTTACATATAGGGATATATTTTACTCCTAACTTTTCGAAAGCCTAATTAGTTTCCATTCATGCTAAAAAAGTTGAGTCTTCAGTCTGCTTTATCTCCTTGTAAAATCAGCTAAATCTATCATTTAAGAACCATATTGCTTGTTTGGACTACAACTTCTTCTATGACATTCTCTTTCATCTTCTGTGTCACTTCTCGAAGTTGCTCATTTTCCCTTGTAAGAGATCCTTTCTGTCTAAGAAGTTCTTGAACAAGATCTTCATATATGTTGCAGTTATTTTTCAGCTTGGTGACCCCTGTGATCCATTCTTCTGGGGTACTTCCTAGGCCAGTATTTTGAAAGGCTTGACTGATTTTCTGAAAATCTTCATGCATAGTTTTCATTTCTGTGCTCAATTTCTTGTTTTGGTCGTTCAAGTCCTTCAAATAATATGCTTGAGCTTCATAAAAACCTCCTCCACTCTGAATGTCCTGACTGATGCTCTTACCATAGACTGCTTTTGGTATCAATCTGGGAATCTTTGTGGAGTACTTTTGGTATTAATATAACAGGATCTCTGTGCGCATTGCTCGCTTCCATCCTCGGAGTTTCCTCAGGATGTCTTTCCTTGGCCGCATCATATTTTGTTTGATCATAAAACTTTTTGTCCATTACGATTTCTTTCCAATTTGATGAACAGTCTTTCAAGTCAACACCTTTTGGTTATACCATGATCATGCAATGCAAACAAAAGAAATCAAATATAAACAAGTTTAGAGCAAACAATATGTATGAAAAAAATGAGAAGTGAAAAAAGAAATTGGTTAGTACCAATTAATGGAAAGAAAAGATCTTATTTATCAAAGTATAAATCCTAACCTCATGCTTTCTAGTTCCATGCTTTGTTTGGAAAAATTAACCTAACTGCATGATTTCTAGTTCGCAGGCATTTATTCAGAAAAAAAAAATAATGAATAAATTAAAAGCTAGAACTTATTTCTCCTTTGTGTACACCTACGGACAGAGGTTCAATACTGTCTTAGATCAGGTGAAGGGCTAGGGTTTATTATATGCAGGGTTTCAGTTCTGGGAGTAAAGGTACCCGAATTTTCCTTGTTAGTGCCCCCTTGGGCTGCTAACCCTCTATCCTAGTCCATTACAGACTTAAACGGATCGAGTTCAATTCGAGGGGATACATTTCTCTATGCCTGACACGGAGAATAAATTCTCACGAAGACATAGAGCATATGAACCCCGAAAGTTACTTACTAGGTCTGACACGGAGAATAAATTCTCACGAAGACGTCGCTTTCACTCCCACTTAAAAGGGACAAACTCAATTATAGAGCTTTATGTTATGCAATGCAAGTGTTGTGTGTGAGGAGAAATGTTCAAACCTCTGACAGAAAAAATAAATAATGAAATAAAATACTTGCAAATAAAATGAAATATTAATAAGAAAATATATAAATGTTATGAAAATAATAAGTATATAAAAAATTTGAAAAGAAAGAATTATAAATCAAATATATGAATTTTTAATTTATAATTAATAGAGACAATTTATAATTGATTTTAAAAGTTTGAACATCGTCCCCAGCGGAGTCGCCAAGCTGGCGTAACCGATTTTGGTCCGGGCACGAATTTTTTTACTTGGCGGGAAAAGTGATATGAATAAATAAAATAATTTGGGAGTCGCCATCGGCCTTTTAGGTCAGGTAGGTCGAATACCTAAAAATTATCTTTTAAAAGAGTTTTAAGAAAACATCAGTTAAAAGATGAACTGATCTGCGTTTATAACCAAAAATTCGTTCTTTTTAAAAAAAGGATTCGTGGTCGGTTACGTTTAGGGAAGGATTAGCACCCATAAAACGCCCAAAATTGGTACTTTATTAATTATAACTTGTCTCTATTATTAGAAATTTAAGAATTCAAAGATATTTAATTTATAATCCTATTATTTCAAAATTATAATTATGAAAAAATATTTATATACATTTATAAGTAAAATATTTATTTATTTAGAAATATCAGAAAAGGACTTCTAGGTGCCTTAAGACAGCTCTTTTCTTTGATATTAATAAATATTAACAATATAATAATTTAAATTATAATTTTTATAATATTTAATTTTAAAATACCAGAATAGGACATCCAGTTGTATTAAGACTGCCCTTTTCTTCGATATTGAAAAATAAATAAATATTAAAATATGATAAAAATAATTTATGTAAAATATAAATTATTATTTATTGTATATATATTTATATGACTAAAAAAATAATATTTAAGAATGTAAACAAGTAAAATTAAAACATAAATAAAAATACAATTAGAACTATATATTTAAAAGTAATAAAACTTTATAATAAATGAAAATATTTAAAAATAGTGACTAAATTATAATCTAATGAAATTAAATACCTAATTCATAATTAATTATTTAAAATTATAGGGATTAAACATACCATTTTCCTTATTTATTAATTTGGTGACTAAAATAAAATTATATAAAATTCGAATATCAGATTAAAATAAATTAAAAATATATACTCAGGATTAAAATATTATTTATTAAAACTAAAGGACTAAATACATATTTTATCTAAAATATTTATAATTACGATTAAGGGCTAAAATATAAATAAATAAAATTTAGAGACCAAATTAAAAGGATTATAAATTTGATTAAGTGACTAAAATGTAAGAATTACAAGTTAAGGGACTGCGGACGGGATTTAACCCTTAGTTAATTACACAAATAGCCCTCCCCGAAACGACGTCGTTCGGGAAGGGCTATTTAAAGCCCGAAACCGGCTGGCCCGAAGGGCCAGCTCTCATTTCTTTTCTTCCCTCTCTCTCTCTTCTCTGAGAGAGTTTAAAACTCTCTCGCTTCTCTCTAAAACAGAGAGAAGCACACCGGCCGGCAGCCGTTTGTCGGCGTTGACCCCGCCGCCGGCCACCGCCTTCGGTGGCCGGAAATTTTTTTTTTACACTAAAACGTAGATCGGACCGTCCTAATGACGGTTCCGGTGTTCTTTTCTCTTAAATAGCTCCCGATCGGAGCAAATCTAAGAAAGTACCTTCGATTTTCGAAGGTTTTTGGTGACGTTTGGAGAGGTCCGGCGGTCGTGGCTTCCTCGGTAAGCTTCTCTCCTTTCTTTTCTTTTGTTTTTGGTTGCTGTGTTGTGGGTTTGCTCTGCTTTGGGTTTGCTGTTGGTTGCTCCTTCTCTGTTGGTTTTTTTTTGTTCTCCTCTCTGTCTCCTTTTTTTGTTGCAGGTATGGTCGATGGTTTTTATAGCCATCGACGGTGTGGCTCTCGGACCGGTCTCAAATGGTGACCCTAGGTGAGTCACCGGACTATGGTGGTGACTCACCATAGGATTTCAACGTGGGGCAGAAACGAGGTGCTTCTGGAGTCTTCTGTTGGTGTCGTCGTGGTACTGGTGTGTCGACAATGGCGGTGGAGGCGTTGACAGTGGGGCATTGGACTACCTGGCAGTGAAGCAACGGTTGGAAGCTTGGAGATAGCTGAGGCGGCGCCGCGTGGTTGCCCTAGGGTATCATACCCTAGGGTTTTCGTCTGGAAGCATCAGGACCGTTGGATTTTGGCCAGATCCAACGGCTGTGAGCAATGGCGGCTGGGGCATGAGATGAGAAACCCTAGTTGGGTTTTAGGGTTTATGTTGAGCTTCTGTATCTGGGCCACATTGTTTAGGCTTGCAAACTGGGCCTGAGTTCTTGTAATTGGGCTTTGTAATATTAAATAATATTAATAACAATAATAATTATAAATAATGATAATAATAATAATAAATATATAAATAAAATGGGTAAAAAAAATTAGTATCTTCAGTTGGTATTGGTTCACTATCTGTAAATGATTTCTATCACCGAATTCATTGTCGCCTTTTGTTTGTGAATCAAATCAGCTTGTTATTGCTTTAGTATTCAAGCCACTCGATCTAGTTTGGTTTCCATATGACATCCGGGCAAATGGTTCAGGTCGTGCTGTTGTCGGTTGTCCAATGTTTGAAGCATTTCCTCCATCTTTTGTATATTGTAGTATTGGTTGCTTTTTGAATAATCATTTGATGGGTTTGTCATCGGATGTTGAATGAGAAATTAACTACTTTGCGACTGATTAGAACTTTTCCCCTTTCAAATGTGAAATGGAGTTGGTGATAAATATTTTCATGGTTTTTCTTAGCTTAGAATGATATAACTTGTCGGAGTTTATCATTTTCTTCGTATGTGACTGCAGAGAGCTCTTCAATGGTGTAATTGTACCGTAATTTTTGTCTTGTAATTTTGCTAACATACAGTCATACACCAATCCATAATATGGATCTTTTGTAGCCGTTTCGGAACTTGGCCTGTTGCCATGCTTGCACAAAGCAAAAACAAGGCAATTCTGGAAGGTCCAGCGTGCAATGCTAGTCAAGTAATTGGATGGCACAGAAACGAGAAAATTAAAAGATTTCGTAGGTTTCATGCTGATATGCCGGGATTTGCTTTCAACAGCACTATCTTGTGGGATCCAAAGAGATGGGGACGCCCCTTCTCAAACCCAGTTCGACAGTTAGACAAGGAGAGGTTCCAAGTATGAATTATACCATTGTGTTTTATCTTCCAATGTTGCAGCATGATTCTTTGGTTTTGTCATTGTTTCTTCTATGCAGGAAACTACATTTATAGAACAAGTTGTGGAAGATGAAAGTCAAATGGAAGGTATACCACACAGTTGTTCGAGGATTATGAACTGGCATCTCCATTTAGATATGGACAATCTTGTTTATCCCAAAGGATGGCTACTTGAGAAGAATCTCGAGGATACCTTGCCAGTTAAATGATGGAAGCTCCTCTCTACAATTCTTTTATGTTGAGGGCTTAATCGGGTAAGGGATTTATCTCTTCTCTTTCTGTAAGCTTGACTTCAGTTATCTGACAGATAGCAATTATAGAACTAACGAAAACAAGTGTTGGATCCGACATGAGTTATCTCTTGAGCTGTTTGCTACTTTTGATGTTATGTAAATCTCTTTTTTTTTTTTTGCCTCGGGTTTTAGTATAGATATGTAAATAATGGATGTGTGGACTGTATCTTACTGAAGGTGTTTTCTTGTCACAGTTGTGCCTATAATATCTGCTGATGGCACATTATTCCGACTTTTTCCGACCAGATTTGGCACAATCATATAATACCTAATGCAGATAATCATCTGAGATTGGCAAAGAGACGGAAAGTTTGTGGTGTTTCTTTGTAGAATTTTGCAGTACGAATATTCTTGTGAACAAAGTGTTGTAGAGTTGCAGTGTTTTGGTTTAATTCGTTATTTTCAGGAGAAACTTATACATTCCTCGACTCCACAAAATAGGTGGTGTTTGATGGGGGTGTATCCATTGTTATATAACCCTTATACTTAAATCAAAGGACGGCATTTTGTTTAACAACTTGCCAGTATTGTTCATAAATGGAATGCTTGAACATGACATTTAGCAGCTATTGTCGAATCCATTTGGAACATTTCTTTTAAAGAAAAAAAAATGAAACATGGTTTTGTTTTACTGTATATGGTAATACCTCTATTAGTCAGCCGTTAGTCAATGGTTGAGCAGCACGTGGCAGTGTTTGTGTCTTAGGTAAATGAAATTTCTTGATAATGTTTTTGGCCAATTTGATGAAAAAAGTAAAGGGAAAACAGGTGGTTTACACTACACTTCAATAAATGTTGAGAAATTAAATATAAACTGTTTATTGTATTGTTTAAAATTTGGTATTGATATAGATATACCTTCACCCCATCTTTGAAATGTTACGCATACGTTCTCTTTCTGGGTTTGCATCAAGGTCGAATAACATCTAAAAGGTTAAGCACACTGTTTTTCTTGATGGGATTAATATAGAAAGCTAATTATAAGTTCATATACTAATCAAACCCTTAACTGCATATTGTTTAAATATGTCCAGAACTTTACATATTTGGAAAACAAATTATTTTGTTTTATTTTTCAATATGTCAGAATCTTATCAGTTATAAAAGATTTAATTTAAAATGTTACCATAATTTTTATTGGTAGTGAAAGAAAATTAATTTAGCTGTATTGATGAAGCATATTATATCATCCTAACAATTTGAATATTTTTTCAACTTCAGTTTCGTAAAGTGAAACTTGAGTGGCAATGATTAATTTGTTTGAGTTTTTTTTAAAGTTAAATAGTTATTTTTTTATTTTTAAAAGGATACTTTTTCTCATTTTTAAAATTAATAGAGTTTTATATCAATTTTTATTTGATTTATTGAGTTCGACAGAATTGAAAAAAATCAACTAACTTAAACTCAAAAAATTTGATTCGGAAGTTTGAATCAGACGGATAACTCATATTAATTAACTCAAAATCTGAAGAAAATATTGACCCCTCTTTCAATAATTGCTATTTGCAAAGTTGCTAAACCTTATTAAACTTCCTACTAAAAGTATCATGATTTTATTTTAGACGATAAATTTTTAAAATTTTAGACAATAAAAATAAATTATCAATAAAAAATATAAAAAAAAATCTAAAATATATGATATTTTAAAATTTTCAAGGGCGATTGTTTCCGCCAACCCTTTCCCTCCCTGCCTGAATCTCATGTGTACCATAGGCTCTTTTCTCTTAGGTCAAAGCTCTCAATTTTGTGCCCAAAGTACACCATTCATAGTTTTGACCAAACACACACAAGCCTTAACCATAGTTTTACATTATTTATTCCGAGCAAACTCGGCAACGATGCAGTCTCTCACATGCTTTGCTGGGGCTATTCCCCGACACCAATATCTACAGGGATGACACTATCTCTATAGTTTATATGACAAGCCTTTAAGTTCAAACCAAACAAAACCTCTTCTTAAACGGAGGGTACATTCACGAATTATGCCGGGCTTGTCCGACCGGTAACCTGGTTCATGCAAAGGTAAGGCGGCATATCCAAAAAATATGCAACTAAAATGCATGCAAAAGAATGGTTAAAAGCAGAACAAGACATCAGACAAGTACCATTACCAGCACAAAAGAGTTGATACATTCTTGTAAGGTTTTACAGAAAATAATGTGGAGGTCTTTCACCATAGAGAACACACATGTGACATGACTTGGTCCGGACTCTAAATTCGATTGAATCATAAAATTACTCACAAACGTTTTAAGTGTTGTAGGGTTTTTTTTATATATAACTTTCATACACTAAAAACAGGCTTACTTGTTTCAAATCCCCTCGCCAAACGAAGATAAATGTTGCAACATAAAGATAACATGATCTCCTATTCACTCCATCATCCTCTCATCCGATGGAAAGAATCACGAAAGTGCTTCTACATCTTCTCCGAAAAGGCTTCTGAATTGGATAGAAAAACATCTAAGGACGCTAGCTAGCTCTGATTCCTGCATTTTTCCATGGAATTGCATTCATACATCGTTAGTGTTTCTTAAATCTTCAAAATCTGAAACTGCACTGTAATTTACATGTCAAAGAACACTGTCAAAACTAAATAAAAAAAAAAAGCTTTTGTCAACATAAGAATAATCGTAGGAGAATTCTTCAGACTACCAACATGTATATCTAGGCATTTCTCAGAACAATATGCAAATTATAAAAGTTGGTTTCAATACTAGCTACTGATGTGACACTCAGTTGATGTATAAACATATCAAAATCGTTACCGAGACCGATGGCATCAGAGCTTTTCATGATCCTCAGCCTTTTGCAGGTATCAATAAACATCCTGAAATCAGAGCCAAAGTGGAATTAGGCAGCAGTTAACTGATATCATTCTGGTCGGAAAATGAGAAATAAATACTAATAAACTGAATTTCCTAACGCAGCAACATGTTCCAACTCGGATTAACACAGACAAACAGGAACATACTGAACTATGAAGTTAATTGAATGGAGCATAAAAGTTTGAGTAAAAAAAGAATGATGTGGAAAAATCGGAATCAATTTCAAAAATTTGTGCAGGTCAAGTAACATTTCTATCGTAAGATAAGCTATAAGCATACATGCCTGGCCGAAAATCCAATAGTTTTAACACCCCTTTTCTGAGGGTAAAAACAAACAAATTAGTTATCGAACCAATGATAGATGTATGCATGCATTGTCATAAGATAGTTTTTCCTCTAGAGCTAATAAACAGGGGATTTTATCCATTTTAAAGGGCTCCCACAAAAATCTGATAGATAATATCTGAAGCAGAGTTTACACTGTACTCATCCTACCTACTTCTTAGCATTTCATTAATAGCTTATGACAGACCCAAAAGCTTGACAATAGAGTGCTAAACAATATGGCAGGAACAATTTCTGTTTTCGACTCTTATGAGTGCATTTTGTATAACCATACCATCAGTTAGCATGATTTTACTTCTCCAGCAGTATCGATATTGTCATAAAGGAATCACAAAACTAGAAGTAAAAATATGAAAAGGGGGACATAGAGCTCACTCCCATGGGACATCACCCACAAGCATTCAGTCACCATCTTTATCCTCATAAGTAAGAACAAATTCTGATCCATGCAGCAGATCCTCCAGCTTGCTTTCGCTCATCAGTTCCCTCCCCAGGGTTCCGTGAGATCCACATTGACCTGAAATCATAATAAAATAGCAGTAACTGGGCCGATACAAACCGATACTACTGTATTCTTGGAAATAACAGCTGCAAAGAACAAGAATTGAATATATATAAGGTCCACATTCTAAATATTTTATGTCGAAATAACTCACCTAGGGTAAAACATCTGAACATCTTCTCGAGAGCAGAGGATAACTCCTGATATTTAGAGTAGTTTCTCAAATCCACTTTTCGCAAATAAGGAGCACCATCCATGCTGACCTTAACAAACAGCGCACCAGGCCCTACCTTTCCATCTACTTCATCAGTGTTCTTGGAATTAGAGGCCAATGAGTTCTTCCTGAATGATCTAATAGGTGGCCAACCTACAACCTGTGCCATGCAAAAGAAGGATGATTTAGAGACTCTTATCATGGTTAAACCCAAATTTATAACAGAAACCCAAGCACACGTACTTGCTAGCTGGTGATCCACTGTTATTGTTTGCAGTCTCATTAGGATCGGGTATGGTATTATTAGCATGAAGAGGTCTATCCTGTACCACATTCCGGTTCGTGACCTCTTTGGCTTTTGTTGATTGAGAGCCAAGGTTTTCAAGCACGTAACCTGATTTCAGTCCCAAGTTCGAAGAAGGCCTGGATGATGGCATCACAGTTACTTTTGAATTAGAAAGAAATTTTCCCTGCGATATAGATTATGTAGTTTGGAGGTTAGATTATTTAACATTAATCTCGGTCTTCATAAATCGCAATGGTTTCTACCTCGGAGAACTCATCCATTGCATCGGAGAACCCTCTTTTGTTGCCTGAAACAACATTCTTCTGCGATGCAGTGCAGTTACCATCACTTGAAGGATGCAAAGGGAAAAGGAGTTTCTCATCGCGTTGAGTTGTGCTTAGCAAGAAAAGCTCCGGATTTCTTTCAGGAAACCGGGATACAGGAAGCCCAAGACTAAGATCTGTTGCCTTCAGATTCAAACTAGACTTGCTTTCCTCGGATGCAAGGGAGACAGTAGAGCTATCCATGGGAGAACAATCAGACAAGCCCATGTAGTTGCGTTCCTTCAATTCGGCATTGTTCTGGCACACACAATCCATTGAGCCTGAAGTACCCAGTAAAGTTATCTTACCTGAACTGCTTTCCTCCTCCTCGCCAAGCAGCAGTGGAGACATCGGAATTAATACAGTCAATACTTGACAGCCTCCTAAATTCAAAGATAACCAAATTTACTATTTGATGATTTAGAGAAGCAAAAGCTGCATATTTAAAGCAACAGCTGGAAACATGAAACCATGAGTGATCATACCCCATCCCCAAACAAATTAAACAATAGAGAGTTGTAAATAGATCCTTATGAAACTAGAGAAATTAAGGGATAAAGATCAAATAAGATAGAGTGGATCTCAAGTATGAGAAGCATCACCTTTTCAGATGTTAGAAACTCTTATGAAATTATAGAGCAAAGACAACAAATATCAAGCAAATTGTTTCAATGGAAACTTAGCTGCATCTAAAGTACTTTCTGCTGGGTAAATGTAAATGCATGCAAAAG